TGTAGATCCACTCCCAACACATGAAAGAGTTATTGTGTGTCCTGGTCTGATTGAGACCTCAGACCCCGGGTGTTCATCTGATCTCATGTTCTCTGTGAGTTTTGCAACACATATTGCCTCTAAAAACAGAAAGATCAAGCATACTCCACATTAACCATGGATCTATCTTTAGCCAACCAGAAGCTTTTACTTTCTGTGTGTTTAGCATCACATTTAGGAAAAGGGCTGCGCCATTCTCCATTTGATTGACAGGTGATTTCTCTCTGTTCTTTTAAAATCAGACCTTGTCCAGTGCATGAAAAAATTATATTTTTTTCCAGGTTTTACTGGACCCTCAATATCAGGGAGTCTCTCAATTTTTAAGTCTTCTGTTGTGTTCCACTGTAGAGGACATGTTGCCTCTAGAGAAAGCAGACAATTGGTCACATATTTATCCACTCAGAAGCATTTATGCTTTATCTGGTCCAGTGTTTGGGAGTAATGTGCTACCAACTTCCAATGTGGTTTAGCCTAATAATCACATTTTTTTTGTCATATGGTATTGCACAAGCAGCATTACAGCTAGGAAAACTGAGTTAAAGATGAACTATACATCTATCCCTCACAACCTCACGGAAAACTCAATATGATGGTTTTATTTAATCAGAATACACAGTTACATTTAAGTGGCTGTTAATGGAAAAAATACTCTAGTAGTTATGATATCTACCAGTAGAGGCAGCGTGTGGCTCTGAAACCTCTTCACTGTCATGAAAGTCTCATGAAGACTCTACTATTAGGAAGTTTGATTCATTTATATGAACCAATTCATTTAATTACTGTGCTGCATTTTATGTAGCAATATACAAAATAGTATAAAATAAAATTGCATCAAAATATGAAATCTTATAAAACAGAACGTATGATATTATAAAATATATAAACAATATTATGCAACATAATATTTTGTAGTAAAATATTATATTATAAATTAAGATAAAATAAAAAATAAGATAAAACAATATTATTCAACATTATGCCAAATATATTTGTAGCAAAAAGCTAAATATATATAAAGTGTTTCAATACAATTGAAAGCAAAACAACAAAACATCAGTCAATGAAGCATGTAAAAAAATCTATCTAACAATAATACTGGTAAAATATTACTACTATTAATTCTACTACTGATAATAATTTGAAACGCGCTATGGTCTTATAAGCGGTTAGGCGCATGACTATTAATTACGTTGTCTGCATTCACTCAAGTGAGATTGCAGCTTATGCCTTATGCACTAGTGAAGGAAGCAGACTCTCAAATGCTCTCAGTGTTCAAGTGTAGGTGAGTGAAAACATCTGTGGTAAACTTATTCTCAAACTCTGGCGAGTGAAATCTAACAATTTATTGGTCTGTGGCAAAAGATAAACATTTAGTCACCTAGTGTGAAATTTAGTCTCATATGAGAGTGATTTACTCACAATGTAGAGTTGTATATCTGTGAATTTGTGAATTTACCAACACATTTAGGAAATGGGCTGCTCCATTCTCCATTTGACTGGCAGGTGATTTCTTTCTGTCCTTGTAAAACCAGTCTATGACCAACACATGAAAATGTCAACCTATATCCATATCAGATCAAGTCCTCAGGGAAATCAGGAAGTCCCTCCACTCTGATGTTTTCCTCTGTGGTGTTTCTTTCACATGATACCTCTAAAGAAAGAAAAGTTTCAGGAGCTCAGATGGCATAACCACCATAACGGTTATATCAGGCTGCCCAGGATATTCACAATTTAAAGAAATTTCTGCATTTTGTGGAAAATATAGGGGTAAATGTACCCTTTACTTTATTAAAAAAAGGTTCCTTTTTGGAATCTTTTGTTACATGAAGAACCTTTCCATTTCACAAAAGATTCTTTATGGTGGAAATATGTTCTCAAGTTTATTAAAATATTTTTTCACATTAAGAAAATGGTTCTTTTAAGAACTGAAAGGTTCTTCAGAGAACCCAGAATGATTATTCTATGGCATTGTTGTGAAAACCCCCTTTTGGACCCTTTTTTTTTTAATGAGTGTTCGGGCCTCCCTCGCCATGGGCCCCTGTTACTCTGTTCCACTATTACCCCCTGTCCGGCGCCCCTGTCTTCAGGCAGCTCACAGCGTTTGGCTGATGATGAATCAGAAGCAAAATATACAATTCAAAGTTCTGAGAATTCAGTTTTTGAAGGCCAAGGAAATGATTTCATGATAACAAGTTACTCAGGTTACTTCAAATGCATACAATTAGATTTAAAAGTATTGCACAGCAGTCCAGAGATTTATAAATTGTATGTAATTTTTAGATGTAATAATTTAGTAATTCTTTTCAAAACGGAATGCCTTACAATTTGGTGTAGAAGCATCAACAATGAAGCATATCCAAAGATATTAAAAAAACATGACCTGATTTAATTTCCCCCAATCTGTTACTTGGCTCACACTGGAAGATGAAGAAACTCACCAAACAAAGTCTTTAACTGAGTTAATATTTGTCAGTTCTGGGCAGGACTTTTGTTTGCTGCATGATGTTTATTTAGGATCACATAAGGGGTATTTGTATGTGAAAAAAGATGTTTGATTTTTCTAAATGCTGCCGATGATGATGATCCAGGTTTACATTTTTTTTTTATTCATTACATACAAAGTAAATTATCAGCAGTTCTCAATAATTTCAGTGAAAACTGAAAACTGAAAAAACAAACAAACAAAAAAACAGAAGAGAACATAAGGAAATACATGAAAATTGAAAATTGAATATGAGCTTCAGTCCATTGGAACTGCTGTCGTAACACATTTTACATACTCAGCAAACTGAACCACTGCAAAAGCAAATACTCTGTGCAAACATGAAATGCTCTTTGTATAGGAAGATCAAATACAAAAATACTGGAATTGATGTTTTTGAAGGTAGATGAGGCAAAGCTGTGGACCAAGTAAAATAATTTGCAGGGACCTTCTACTATTTCACTATTTATTTATGTCTCGTTGTTCAGCAAATCAGAAGCTGATTATATGAAATCGTTTACGATTAAATTAATTTTTTTCTCTCCTGTTTGTCTGTCAACAGTGTATTTTAAAAATAAATAAATATATTCTATAGTCAGTGTTGTGACGGTTACTTTGGAAAAGCAATAGGTTACAGATTACAAGTTACCCTATTTAAAATGTAATAAGTAGTTCAGCTATTTCAATTACTTTATTAAAGCAATGTAACTGATTGCATTCGATTACTTTGATTACTTTTCTCATTTTCGAATGAATGTTTCCATTTGTAAATCATTTTGAAACATGTAAAGCAGGCAGGGTTAACCTTACAGCAGGACTCAACACTCATTACTGTCAGACCTTCAAAATCCTTCATCACTTGAATTAAGATTATATTAATTTAATTTTAAAGCACAGCCACCACGAAATCAGACTTCAGCACCACTTTTTACTTTGAGATCGTTCCGAGGTTAAATACAGATTTAAAATCATAACAAGATATAGTTTAATATCTATGATACAGTTTTTGAAATCAAATCTTTGCATAGCTATGACAGGAAACACAGACATCTAACAGTTAATCTTTAAAAAAAAAAAAGCATATACATAAACCCAAATAGGAAATAAAACAGTTATCGTATAAACGTGTCCTATTCTGTGTCCTAAACTCCTGAAACATTGGTGTCTCATATTTTAGAGCAGTCAATGCAATTTGGGAAAGAAATCAATTAAATTTGTATGTGGGTGTGTATGTGAAAATATTTAGATATAACCCCCTATGCAATCTTTGACATTTTCACAAGTACCTGTAAATTAATTACACCTTTTTTCTCAGTAACTGTAACTGATTACAGTTACATTTATTTTGTAATTAAATTACGTAACTCCATTACATGTAACTAGTTACTTCCCCAACACTGCAGTATAGGACATAAATTAGCTAACTTATTTTATTATATGTAAGATATAACAAGCTGACTTAACTGTAACATTATTTCACTCTCATTTATGTCCTGTAGAACATTTTTCAACTAGTGCAGATTTTTTTAAAACAAATGTTAAATACTTTTTTTTTCTGAGTAGAATAGAATCACAAATAGTCTCACGGTTTCTTTAAAAAAAGCAGAAAGAAAAATACTATCATAAAAAAAAAAAATTGTGTTAAACATAAGTAAATTTTGACAATTGTAAAATATAGTTTCTGAATATTTTGTTTCCAATGAAATTCCCTGCTCTAGTATGCAAACTGATTACTTTTGGTTCATGTAAGACTTAGTTCTATAGAAATGAAATGCTTAAAAGAGTTTCCTTAAAAGAAGAAATGTATTCTATTCAATCTCTTTTAAGTTAGTAAAACCCCAAAATGTAAATAAAATGGGAGGAAATAGTTGAATGTAAAAAGAAACCAAACTCTGTGTAATAGTTTGAATTTCAAGCTGTATTCTGAAGCTACGTTGACAGTCTGTGCATGAGTTGCTCCTCCTGCAACAGTGTTTCTCTATTTCCATTCATATCTGAAGAATCATCAGATCTTAATACAGAAGATTATGATAAATAAAGTTACAGGCTGTTGTTTTTATCAGTTCACATGCCAAAAGATGCTTATCAAAATATTACAGTTTCTTTATTCAATTCAAATTCTGCACTGGATCATAAATTCTGAAAAAAAAAAAAAACTGCTTTATTTTGTTAGAGTGCTGGAAATTGAAAACTAAATGCAATAACCTGACATTTGTTAAACTAACAGAAACGTCTCTAGGTTACGTATGTAACCATGGTTCCCTTTGACACGTGCTTCAGAACGCGGTCACGCAAGGTCGTTCCCAAAGCGATCTCGACGCAGCTCGAGTTCCTGAAGGGGAAACATATTTTAGCTGGTTCACATAAAAATAAAATGCTTTTATCTAAACATTGTTCTCCAACACGTAAACATCTTAAAACCAAAAAAACTTCAAATAAGTAGCCTATGTGAACACTTAAATACAATTATTTTGGAGTAAAAAAGATCAAGCCAGAGGGAAAAAACTATTTTCAGAGCTGGAGAAAGTGTGGAGATCACCTGCTCTGAAAAAAGCTGCTGTATGATACAAAAGAAACCAGCAAAATGTTCATGCCAAGATAACGGGGAGTGGGACTATGAGCCTGTTTGTGCTGGTAAGATTATAGAGAAACATTTCTGGATTTGGTGAAACTGGGAGCAAAACAATATTACTGAACTTGAACTTCAACCCTGAACTGTGTCCAATCAGATGCTCTCTAGAATCAAAATCAAATTAGTGTTTCAGTACCAATGTGCTATACTTTCCCTCCCATAAAAAAGCCTGCTTGAAATTTAAACATAACTTCTTAAGACAATGATGAAAATCTAATCTGATAATGAATAAAATGTCTTTGAGACAGGAGAAAAATAAATTGCAGGCAAAATCCATCTGGATATAAAGTGGACACTATTATCTTGATTTTTAATGTAAAAGTGGGCACCGCCAATTTTAACTTGAATTTGTGAGACTATCTGTTTCATCAAAGTTCAGTTATTTTAGCTGTACAAAAAAAATTATGCTGCTTGATGTTGCAAACTGTTGTTTGTTATCATATTCTAATTTATTATCATAATCATAAACAGATAGGTTTGTAGTGCAAATAATTTAAATAGTTTAATAAATCGGATGTCTCGCATATTTACAGGAAAGAGCTTATGTCTGCGTTGCAAAATAAGGTGAATACAAAGCTTCTCAAAATGTGTCTGATACTATTACTTGTTTAGGTAAGATCTGTCCATAGCCTCTGCTGAAAATGGAGACTTTAGCATCAGGAAAAAAGATACAAGCATTTATATGTGCTGGACAAACAACAGGAATATTATAAGTGTGAGAATGGGAAATGGGAAATGGGAAACTCCTCCAAAATGCTGCAGTGGGTCTTTCTTTTCCAACTGATTCTCTTGATTCTCTTCCATCATGTAGTGTTTTGAACTTTGTGTTCAGTCAGTTGTATTTTGTTTCTGTCATAGAGCCGTGTGAAATGACACCTGGGATTATTGAAGCACACAATATTAAACCCGTCCAAGAAAAGGAATATTTACGCATTGGTGACAATCAGGAAGTTTACTGCAAGAAAGGCTGGGCGAGAACATCTATGACGTGTTCTGATGGAAAGTTTATGTGTTTGTGTATTTTCATTCCTATGTGAATGAATTAAGGTCATCAGATGTGCCTGCAGCTGATCTAGAGTCATCTTTACCATCCTGCTAATAATCAATCTCATATTATTTGTTGAGGTTTGAATTTATGTAGGTTCAGTTACAGGCAGCTTTACTGAATAGAAAGTTCAGAAGTACAGTGTTTATTTGAATTAGGAATATTTACCATCAACTTTGATTAATGTAATGCGTCCTTGCTGAGTCTTTTTTTTATAGATTTTTATTCTTGCTTTTCTTCAGGTCAATAATACAAGTTGAAAACAAGCTGGAGTGAAACATTGAGGTATGAAACTATAAAACAATTTTACCATCTAATTGTAAATAGTTAAAGAGCGTTGTTAGGCATGCCACGCAGAGATTATGTGCTTTTATTGCAAATTTAAGTGCAATTCCGCTAAATGACAAAATCCCTGACACAAGACAAAAATAACTTTGCTCTTATTGCATCATGAATAAATGAGGCAGTTTATGTAACCTATGAATTCATGTTAATAAGTAATTCCCAGTAATTCTTCACTCACTGTACTGTAAGCTACACTATCATTAGCCATTCTTAAATTTGACTCAGCCAAATGTCTGAGAAATAAATCAAGAACGAAATTTATTAAGTACCAAAACTATTATGCTTAAAGATGGACACTTTACTATCCCATGAGGCCACGGGAGAGGATTTATAAACGGCAGTGAAGCGATACAACTTATGCTGGTAGGTCATGTGACAGTAACAACATGGTGGATGTAGTACGTCCGGATTTCATCCATATTCATACTATATAGAACATACTTTTTTAACGGTCGTGAAGTAAATTCAAATTCAAATGTAGTACGTACTCAGAGAGTACACGATTTCAAACGCATCGGGTGTGAGGTAACTCCCTTGATCAGCAATGGAGCGAAAGGCCTGTTCGATGAGCTTCAGGATCTCATCACGCATGCGCACTGTGTGTGACCGATGTATCTTTCACTCATATATTCATGCCTGTGACGTAATTTTGACAGTGTTCGTAGCTCATCAGTGGTGAAACTATATTTTGTGTATTGTGACGAGCGTCCCGAAGCTTCATCAGCGTCGCCCTGGAAACAAGCGAGGAACACCTGGCCGTCCTCGTCACAGGCTGATCGGTCACAGCTGCAGCTCATCAGGCGGCGGCTACATAAGCCACGCAAGCCCTGCCACCTTTGAGACACTTCTCCATGAGACTGAGCATTAACTTGCCCTCTCATTTCGCCCACAGACAGCAGCGTGTGACCGACCAGCCCCACAGGAGCACCACACGGACCCCCTGCACTGGGAAGAAGGACGAGAGCACTCACGTGCTCTTCGTGCCGCCGCCGCTCAACGCATTCCGCTGCCGGACCCCCGAGTACAAGCCGCTAAGCTGCTACCCAAGCTGACCCCCCATGATGATGTGGAAGCATTCTTACAGATGTTTGAAACAACGGCAACCTCTGAAGGATGGCATAGGGACGACTGGGCACGGGTGCTGGCTCCCCTGCTGACGGGGGAAGCCCAGCGTGCATACTTCGCTCTTCCCGCCGCCTCCGCCGATCAGTATAAGGAGGTCAAGAAGGAAATTCTAGCCCGCCTGGGGCTATCCTCTATCTGTGCCGCTCAGTACTTCCACGACTGGGAATATAAGCCCCGTCTGCCGGCCCGTGCCCAGGCCGCCGAACTCACGCGACTCGCGCAGCACTGGCTGCTGGAGGGGACTCCATCGGCTGGACAGGTGGCGGAGCGCGTGGTGATTGACCGTCTCCTCCGAGCCCTTCTCCGAGCCCTTCCCCGATCTCACCGACAGGCAGTTGGAATGAGGAACCCAACCACCACCTTGGAGCTCGTGGAGGCTATCGAGCTGGCGGATGCGGCCCAACATCGGGATGCTGGAGAGCGAGCACCACCGTTTCCCCGGAGGGTGGTCCAGGAGCAACGCGCGCCGGAGGGCACCCAGCGACCAGAGAGCAGGCCGGTGGCTCCCTCGCCGCGAGATGAGCCCATGCCGATGGAGGCCCCCGTGCTTCCCGCACGGACCTGGCTGGCTGGCTGCATTGTGCACCGCGACCTGCCGGTTGGAGCTCCAGAAGTGGACGTGAAAGTAAATGGAAAGCCGTTCCGGGCCATCCTGGACTCCGGCAGTGCGGTCACTCTGGTACAGTCTCATATTCTCGCCCCACGAATGGAGTATAAAACCTTCCTCCCCATAACCTGTGTCCACGGAGATACACGACAAGTTCCAGCTCGCAGGGTGACCATTTCTGCCGCTCCCGGCGCCTGGCCTGTGGAAGTTGGGGTAATGAAGGATCTTCCCGTCCCCGTGCTGATTGGGAGAGACTGGCCCGGGTTTGACCGCCTGCTGGCCACGGCTACGCAGCCTGCCAGCCCAAGAGGGGGCTGCCGAAGACGGAGCCCACTCCCATCCCTTGGCAGGGCATCTCGGGGCCGTGAACAAGCCTGCCCGACCTGGCAAGTGACGTCACCCAGGACGCCTCCCCCCAGTCCGCTGATACCGCTGCCCATCATCGAGGTGCCCTTCGAGCGCATCGGGATGGACCTTGTGGGGCCGTTGCCTAAGTCTGCCCGGGGACATGAACACATCCTGGTGATCGTCGACTATGCCACCCGGTACCAAGAGGCAGTTCCCCTCCGAAAAGACACCGCCAAAGCCATCTCCCAGGAACTCTTCCTGCTCTCCAGCCGAGTCGGCATCCCAGCAGTCAGACTCTGAAGCAGATGTTGAGATGAGTGATCGCGGAGGACAAATGCGACTGGGACCTTATGATACCCTACGTCCTCTTCGGGATCCGCGAAGTTCCTCAGGCCTCAACTGGCTTCACCCCCTTCGAGCTCCTCTTTGGCCGGCAACCCTGCGGCCTCCTGGATGTGGCGAAGGAGGCCTGGGAACAACAGCCGGCAGCCCATCGCTCGGTGATCGAGCACGTGAAGCAGATGAGGGAAAGGATCGACCGGGTCATGCCATTAGTCCGGGAACACTTAACCAAAGCG